AAACATGGGGGTACAAGTATCTTTTTCAATCAGTGTTTTTGTGTCTTTTGGGTAGATACCTAGGAGTGGGATTGCTGGGTTGTAGGGAAGCTCCATGTTTAGCAGTTTGAGGAACCTCCAGACAGTTTTCCATAGTGAATAAGTGGGTTTTTTTAACCAAGCAGTTTCACAACTAAAATTTTATCATAAGGAAAAAAATATGACAAGTATAAAATGTTTGTTCAATGATGGTCAGTGCAGCACAGTTAAAAGCAACAAAATAAATTCATGTAATAGATGACATGTAAACTTTAAAATAGCTGCTCTTTATGAAGCATACATAAGCTAATTATATGTATTACCTCGTTTAGCTGTCACAAAAACTATGAGAGTTATTATATCATTGTATTTTAATATGCAGATAAGAAAATTGAGGTTCCAGAAATAATAAGACTTGCCCAGGCTCAACAATGTAGTAAGCGGCAGATACAGAATTAGAAGAAATCTAATATGACTTGAGAAGGCAGTATTCTTTACTTTAGATTACTTATATGACAAGGAAGAATATTTATACCATAAAATCAAATAAAAATGCAATTTGTAGAACAATTGCAAAATTTGATTCCATTTTGTAAAATATATACATATATATAGATATTAAATACAGATAAAACTGCACTGTATAGGGACAATTCTAGAAAGACACGCACCAAAATGTCAATAAAAGTTATCAACTCAGGTGTTTGGGAACTTTTTAATGCTGGCTTTTCTCCCTTTTTACAATGATTAAATTTAACTTACACACAGAAAAACAAATTTACATGACCAAGGCTCGTTGAAGTTGAAAATCATAGCCAAACTGTCCAATGAGATTAAATCCTGTTACAAAATCACACCATCCAGTGGTCTTACAGTGGAAGGGAGGGCTTGGATGAGAAATCAAATTTCTGAAAGGAAATTGCTCCACACATTGTAAAATATATAAATAAGACAGATCATTCACATATTTAGACTAATAAAGTGTTTTAAGCATCTACTTTGTTCCTGGCTCTATTATATTAATTATTTTATTTTAGACTATCTAGATTCTTTTTTCTGCCCTAAGCATTAAAGGTGTCCATGCTCCTAATCACAGCTAGATCCCAACTATTTGCATGTAGATTTTAAGTCTTATTTCTAACTACTGAATGCAATTTCATTACATTAAAGGAATATATGGCATTATACATCAGTCCTCATCTTGCCTCAGTGACTTTTAAGCTTTGGAGAATCATAGTAAACTGTCTTATTAATAACCATCTCTGTACTACCCTACCCCTGAAAGTTAAGGGCCTGCTGACCCTTAAGTTCAGTTCTTTCTTTTTTAAGATTTTTTTTTTAATTTATGTATACAAGAACTGGGGGGGTGAGGGGAGGAGAGTGAGAATGAGAGGATTCACCAGAGACAGAGTGGGGAGCAGAAGAGGCAGATGGACTGAGTGAAATACACTGTTGAGGGGCACAGCAGGTGAGACAGGAGAGGTCTGCTGTGCCCGGTGGATTAGCTTCCTGGCCAGGGATTGAACTCATGAACTCATACTGAAGTGGCTAACAATATCTTGATAACACTAACTTTACCCCTGTGCTACCAGGGAGTAAAGGTTTATTTACTCTTAAAGGTTTATTTCAAGAAGGTTCTGAACCCCACTGGCCACTTCTATAGAGTACAAATTTCCCACTTTTGGTAAATATTCCTTCTCCTCTATCCCCTCCACCTTCTTTACTTTTTCCTTCCAGAAATTTGGTTTGGTCATCTCCTCTTAGTCCTCCCTTCTGCTACAAGACCACCGGGTGGTGGGATTTTACAATAGGACCTAATGTCAATGGATCTCTTCTCCTTCCTCTGACCCTTTTGCCACTTATGTCTATCTACTGCAGCAAGAAACACCTTGGACTCCCACAGTCACCACAGTTCTTCCTAAAAGGGGTGGAAACAGCTGCTCTCCTGTCCCCTGAAAAGAGAAAAAGATGCAGCAAAGAACCACTAAGGCCGGGAAGAGGGAGGCTAAACTCTCTTATATCCATATGACTTTGGTAACAAGGGTGTTAGAAAGATAACTCTTTCTGGCACCACTGAAAACAGTACCCACACTGTTTATAAACATAAGATTTTAAAACGGTTAAAAACAACATTTGGTCGTATTTCCACAATATGGATTACTCTAATGCAGAATAACACTTAGCAGGAAATGTGGTTTTGATTGGCAGGCAACAGGAACCTCTGTTCAGATACGTCGCTCTCATGTTCATCAGCTAATATTTTGTTGCTGATTAGAGGGCTACTACCTGAGCAATCTGATTTCACAGCACCTTTCTGAACCTTCGTGAGATGGGGAACCGCTAAGGCACGACCTCACCTAACAGTGAGGACTTGCTGCTGGGCAGCGGTGAAGGAGAAGGGTGTCTGCAGCAGTGCTTGCGCCTGCACTGTGCCTTCAGGTGATGCCAAACTCTAGGCTGTGCCTGGAGGCATCCCCCCCACACACCCCGTCAACATACTCCCCTCCTTTCTCCTCTCCTGCTCCCCAGGCAGCAGGGACCAAACCCACAGAACGCTCGCACCAGGTACTGTGCTGCCAACTATGAAGGGCACCGGGAAGGGCAGCTCAAGCCCGAACAAAGCTCACGGGCGTGGTCGCGCACCATCCCATGGTCACCTAGACGACCCAGCCCCGCCTCGGCCTCACCCCAGCACCTGGCAACATAGACCCATCAGAGACCAGGCAGAAAATGGAAGCGCTGCCAGACGAGGCCCCAGAGGAATCCTTGGAACCTAAAAACACAGACAAGCCTCCAATGGACAGTCACAGAGATGGCCAGCAGAACCAGGGCAAAGGGAAGGCAGAGGACCAGACTAATGACAGAATACCTGCCCAGGCTCTACAGCTGTTCTCTGAGTCCAACACAGATGGCCAAGCTGACTACAAAGCTTTTGATGACACTCTGCATGGAACAGCTGATCAAGTTGACTTCAGAGCAGCCAGAAATGCTAATGTTGCTCACCAGAGAGCACCTGATGGGACTGACCAAGAATGGTCTGAACAGAGCCACAAAAAGGCATTTAGCCAAGCTGGCTATGTGGAGTCTGAACAGAAAGCAGCTGAGCAAAGGGACCACATAATGACCCACCATTCTGAACAAAGATTTTCTGACCAGTTTGACAGCAGATTGTCTGGTCTGGTTCACCAAAAAACTTCTAAACGGACTGACTATAGATTGCCTGACCAAGATGACCACACTCCCTCTATGGAGTTTCAGTACAAATTGTACGAGCAAGATGAGCAACTAGATGAAGACCAAGCTGTTGACGAAGCTCATAGCAGTGCTGACTACCTCACAGCTGAGGAAATTCATGGTGGTGACTTTAAGAAACATGACTACTTCATGGACAAAGAGGAGAACTACATGAAAGAGTTTTTGGCTGGCTATACAACACACAATTATTTTGACAGCAGAATAGCGACCCAGTTTGGGGACACAGAAGATGTCAGAGAGGTTGACTCCTGCACATTTGAGGATAGCCAGATGAACCGCAAAACTTCCAACATTTCAGTTTCAAGTGAAACTGACACACAAAGTACAACTGATTTGAAAAAACTCGAATCTCTTGAAAGCAGATTCACTAGAGGTTTGCAAATAAAAAAGCAAGCCTTTCCCCAACTATTCCCCTCCATCTTAACCAAATTTGACCGTATCACCAATCAAGAAAAAACTGAAGCCACCGAAATCAAGTCTGTAGGTTCAAGGGGCATTGTGATAGATACCTGGGGAGTTGGAGGCCCAGTCAGGGACCTGTCGTGGTGGTATGGGGCAGGGAAGGAATTAGAGGGACACAGTTGCATAGAGAACGAGGAACAAAAAATAGGTGGACCCTATGGGAAGGCTAGGAAAGGGAGGGAAATAAAAAGATGCAGTACTTTGTCTACTTCTCAAAGGTCATTCAGAAAAAAACTGAACTGGGAGAAGTCAGGAGATCTGAGTTCAAGCCTCTGTTCTGCTGTTAATTTTGTAACAATAAGTCTTTTCCCATCTCTAGGTTTCTGATAAAGGAAAGGAATTTGGAGTCAGTTGGAAATCCCTGTGAAGGGGAAAGGGTTGGAAATAGATTAGAGATGCATAAAGTACCTTCCAGAACCTTCCATATTGCCTGAAGGATCAGCTAGGTCTTTCAAAATAAATGTATTTTCTTCAATTCCTACTATAGAGATCCCATCAATACCAGATTCTACTAATAACAGCAATAAAAATAGCAAAAATTTCTTGGAGTTTCAATTAATTAAAGACGTGGGGGTGTATTTTCATTTCAGGGTGATGTTTCAGAACACCAAGGAATGAGTTTGCATGAGTACCCTCAAACTTCTGGGAAGCGATTCCCTCCTATAGTGTATGAAGATCCTTACCAAGTTTCACTGAGATATATGGAGAAACACAACATTCTACAAGTATTCCAGGTAAACCCATTCCTTAATTATGACTTTCACAGTAATTATAATGTAGGAAAATATCTTTGAATTGTCTTTCAAGGTCTACACAAAAGGACTTTGCTATGAAAGGAATATAATCTCATTGAGAAGACTGTGAATGCATTAAGTTATATTAACCAAAAGTAGAAAATATTATTCACCCAGTGAATAATATGAAGTCCTCTTGTTAGAAGTCAAGTGGTATGACTGATAGGGAAAAACTTTGCCGAGGGCTAAAGTTGGAGCCACACTAGGAAGGGAGAAAAACTTAGTGGCAAACTGGAAGGAGAGAAAGGCTTTCCAGGAAGAAAGATACTTTCAAAAGACTAACCTTGTAGGTATCTAATAAACCAGTCTTTGGGGGTAAAATAAATAGTTAAATATCGCTTCTAATCCTTGAAATTACAAATTTTACTAAACTCGGGCTATGGGACTGAAGCCTCCTTTAAGGTACGACCACCTTTCTTGGTCCATGTAGAATTAAAAGAGATCATTATCTTTATTAAAATTTTGGTTGCTTGGTGGTTTATTTTTGTGTTTGTTTGCCTGACATGTTTACTTTTATGTTGATATTATTACCTAGCAGTATGCACATGAATATGCTGTCATATGTATTGTACATGAAGTAATTTTGTGATTAGAAAGGTATAAAAGACAAATGACCCATCTCACATGAAAATCTTTAAACTGGAAAAGGTTAAATTTAAGGAAATGGGGTAAACAAGAAAGAACGCAAATTTTGGAATGTTTAAGTCCAAGATTCCGATCATAACTTCGCCTCTTGTTGGTGATTTGGGCAAAATTACTTCTTTGAATCACAGTTTCGCTTTTAAAACAGGGATATTTACTTAACTAACCCAGCTTCATGCATTTTCCTTCTTAAAATGTCCTTTTGTGGGAGAGTGCTGATGATTGGGCTTTCTGGCTTAATCCCAAAGGTATATATTATTAAATTGAAGGATGAAAACTGTTGAAGGAGGAATTCTAACCACTCTATAGATATCTCTTGCATCTATCAAGAAAAAATAATGCTACATTGTACACCATTGTCACAAGAAAATTTAAATATCAAATATGTATTCAGAGGAGACATAAGAAACTCATAATTGGTGTGGATGCATTAAACAGACAGGAATATCTTCTGCCTGAAATTCTACCTTCTGATATTCCCTGCAAATGAGAATACCGCTTACTTGTTATAATTTTTTGGGTCTTTTCAGTGACAACAAAAATGTATGGAGGCGTGTGGCTGAAATTTATATGTTCTCTCTTATTACTACAAACACTGAACTCCATTTTCACTGTTTAGAATCAAATGCGTCATGAACAAAAATCATGTTTTATGTAAAATTATGTTTTTAAATCTTTGAGAGACTATTCTTCAGAGCAAATAATTCATTAAATCACAATTTTCAAAATAAAAGCTTTCTTTAAATTTTTCTCATTATCTCTTTGATCTTGAAAACTAGAAAAATAGCCATTGCTAATTATTAGTATTCCCCCAAATTTTACCTTGATTTGTCTAATTTTACTAAAAAAGAGCATGCATAATTGGGCACATTCTAGAAAAATAAGAATTTCTATAATATGATGTGTACTTTTGACTAGTGAAAAGTTTGCGTCAACTAGAACTTGAATCCATAACTTTAACTCAGAACCATAATACAATGCCTTATGCTTTCTCTCAGAAAATCACCGAAAATTTAGTGTATGAAAAGCCAGAGGACCCCTTGAGGTTTATGCTATACCAGGTATGCCATAGGAGAAAAAGAACCTTTTATTGAAAAATATGTACAAGTGTACAAAACAAAACACATACAATCAATTATGAAATGAACACACCCATCACTACTTCTAAAGGTAAAAGGAAAGCATTGTCTGCATGCCAGTTACTACTTCCTGTTATTACTTCTTGTCCTTTCCCTCACAGTTCCTGTCCCTACAAAAGGCCTACAACTCACACTCTTCTGATAATGACTCCCTCACGTTTCTTTATAATGTTTTCACTAAATGTGAATTATGAAACATTTGCTGACATTTGTCAACATTTTCAAATGTATGTAAGAGGAACCATATAGTAGGTATTCATTTGTACCTGGCTTTTTTTTTTTTTATCTTTGCTCATATCTGTGAGATCAATCCATGCTGTTGTGTGTGGCCATAGTTCACTCATTTTTGTGGCTAAGTGATATTCATGGTATAAAATACCACAATTTACCCATTCAAGTTGTGTCTAACTTGGAATTATTACAAAAACTTTTCCTATGAACTTTCCTGTGTGTCTCTTGGTGCTCATGTACCCACATTTCTCTTGAATAATTAATTACCCAGGGAGTGACTACTGGATCATGAAAGGTATGTGTCTATTCAGCTCCAGCTTACTTCAGTTTTCCCAAGTGATTATACCACTGACTCTCACACCACGCAGAGCTTACTGGACTTTTTTTAGAGTAAAGCAGAACACCATGAAGTCTGGTGCTAATTACTCCCCACTACTGAGATAATATTCTTTGAGTACTTTACCCCAAACCTGATGAGTCATGAAGTTTTCCAGTTTGGCTGTAATGGCACTGTTCCTGCCTTGGTTACTATTATGACCTCAGTTGTTTCCTCACACATATGCATTGACCTACACACAGGGGATTACTTGAAGGAGGTCTTCTATAGATTTTGAGGGTCCTTCTGTAGTACAGTTCTCTCTTTTCTGGCACTCTACTCCATGGTAGATAGCTTCTTTGATTTCCCCAGATTCCATGCCCCATCTGCTCAACTTAGTTGTCTGTGGGGTTCCTTCCTCTTGGGTTCTCTTTCCCTACCTGAGGTCAGGACATTTTTGAAAATGATAAGCTGGGGCAATCACACAAGCTCACTTCATTTCTTTCCTGTCTCTGACAGCACAGTCCTTTGTCTTTAATATCCACTATCTAGAAATTGTTTTTTCTTATATGTTGCCTGTCTTTTAGTTGCATCAGACAAAAAGAAAAGCTGATCGCTATTAGAAGGAAGAGAAACTCCAAATGTTTGTGTTTTAATGATTTTCATCTGTTTTTGAAAATGTTGAGTCATTTTTGTTTCCATACATTTTCTTCTGTCCCTTTTTCTTTCTTTTCTTCTTTGGGGAGCAGAGTATTTGCTGGAGTTTCCCTTTTTGTTACATATTTTTAAATGCTTTTTTTCATCATAAAACATTTCAAATATATTCAAATATATGCATCGATATTAGTATGTTAAATCTCTATGTGCCCTTTATCACATAATCTCATCTTATATATTCCTTATCTACTGTCCTCCTCCCCAGTTTATCTTAAAGTGAATCCCAGTCATCATATATTTCATTTGTAAATATTTCACTGTGTTTCTCTGAAAGATAAGGGTTTTGTTTTGTTTTACAAAATTTAATCAGGGAAATTTAAATTTTTTTATTATTATTTTAAAAATATTTATTTATTTATGCATACATGAGCTACTGTCCTCCTCCCCAGTTTATCTTAAAGTGA